GAAACCCCCTGAGGATGATCGTTTTGAACGTTTTCAGCTGCGGATGGAAACATGTCGGCCCGGGCAAAGGGCGACTGCTATTGGGCAAGCTCACTGCCTGATGGCGAGATTTTGCAGGGAATCCGATGTTCTTCATGATTATCTTTAGCAATCCCAGCTGATCACTCAGGTTTTYAAGACGAGGCTTTCAAAGTGCCCTCTGTCATGCTCCTAAGTTCTGGACTCTATCACCTACSTCCAACCCCTCTCCTTCTCCTTTCTCCCCATGTTTCTCTTCTCTCCCCTCTCTACCWTCCTTTCTCGTTTTCTTTATTCAGGTTTCTTCCATTCTTTCCTCTTGTCTTTTTCTCCTGAAATCTTCTATACCCTATTCCCAGGCGCGCCCATAAGTCTGTGTTAATATACTTGTACAATGGAATGGACTGAGGTCATTTAATTTACATGAATGTTCTATTTTGTAACCTTTTGGCTATGAGTATGTCGGATTTTTGTCTTAATTTCAGTTGGTGCATTAAGGTATGCAATGGATCACTGCAAAAGGGATGTTATTGCTACTAGATGAAAGTGGAATGAATATAGCACATTCTGATGACTAGATACATAGTTCGGACTGATTTTTGCAGCAAGGTACACAGTTCAAGAGCACATTCTGATGACTAGATACATAGTTCGGACTGATTTTTGCAGCAAGGTACACAGTTCAAGATGTCTACTGTGAGTGTGGCTGAAGTTCTACGAGAGTCTGGTAGTGTGCCAGAATGGATTCCCGAGTGTGAGCATACTCACACTAGGACTTTTTTCGTTTCTTTTGACGTAATTTGGGTCAGATACATACAGCACGAACGGTAAATGCGGTCGGATACATTTAAGATAGAGCTAGGGTGAGTACGCCCTGTGAGGCTGTGAGGGATTAGACAATCTACCGTTTCTCATTTCCAATTTCTGTGTTTACAGAGCACACACACGCCAGAACTTTCCCGCATGTATATGACCGAAACTGCGGCTTCTGCTGCTTGCATCCGACCCCAATTAGGGCAAGAGTGGAGTCAAAGGAGTCCTAGTGTGAGCATGCCCCCGGAGTTTCACAAGAGCTGTGTTACCGCGCAGTCATTGAATGCGGGTTTCGCGTTCAGTTTTTGAAAGCGCTGAACGCGCGTTCACTGAACGCCGGTAAAAACGATTGACGCGTTTGCGCAGGGGTGTGCGCGGGGTGGGGGGCGGCCCCGCGGGGACTGGCGGCGGTGTTCGAAAGCCTGTGGTGGGGGTCCAGGCTACAGCGGGCCCTAAAACAAAAAAAACAAAACAAAACAAAAAAAGGGTACTTGCCCGTGCTTCGCGTTGCCGGGCTACATAAGTAGCAGCACCGTTCGCACGGGGCTAACTTCCGTGCTGCGCGTTCGAGCGGAGAGCGCTGCCAACTCCGTTGCTACGGTCGGCATGCATTCCGCAAACGCGGAGAGGCAAAGGAGGGAGAGGGAGAGACACAAAAAAAAACAACGACTTCGTTTCACGTACGTTTCGCCGCACAGCACCCTCGCGGATCCTGTCAGTGTTTCCTCGCAAAAGATGTGGGACTCCAAGTTCGTGAGTGTGAGCACGTGCAGTGGCCATCCCTGCCTGCAACGCACACGAACTCAAAGCTCCTCCGCTTCACTGCCAGTGGAGCTGCGAATCCGCACGAGTGCAACATGTCGCTCCAAAGAAAGCACATCCAAAATTTTGTACTTTTGCATGTGTCAGGCCTCACGAACGACATTGGAAGTGCGTGGAGCCCTTTCGGCGAGGGAATTCGCGTGTGCTGTGCGGCGGTGGTGCAAAACGGTGATTCTTGGCCTCGCGAGGGCTCGCAAGGTTTGAGGTCGTTTGGTTTCATTCATTGCACCGTCCGGCAAGGCCCATAGTTTGTTCCTTTGTGGCTTGTACTTGGAGTAACTGTCTGATTTTCCCCTTTTCTTGTTTGGAAATATCAAGAATGTCGACAGGAGCATGGGACAATGGAATCGGTTTCCAGTTCGCCTCTTTGAGGCTTGGCTTCTCTCCCCCGGTTGAGATGTGGAGGGATTCCCAGCCTCCTTTTGCCAATTTCAATGAAATTATGCTATTTAAAAAAAAAAAAAAAAGACCACCCTCCCGCCGAGGGCCAAAAGCCGACACCAGCGCTTTGGGCTAGCGAAAGATGCATCGTTTCGACATATGTCAGAGTAGATTCCGCGCGTCTTCTACATGTGCTGTGTGGCGAAGGTGGGGGGGTTGTTGAAAATCCCCCGATCATGTCGAAAAAATAATTCAATTTGGTGTGGCGAGGCCCTGAGTGTCGGAAGGAAAAAGACGGAATTCAAGGCCTCTTCTCATTGGCTGCAACCTTAAGATATTTGTGTGCACGGACGGGTTGAATACGATGCGTATATAATGGGAAGTTTTGTTTCGCTTGTCTTTGTCCTGTTCTTGTTTTTTATATTATTTTGAAGAATGGAACTTGGGGAGGGGGGGAGAAGAAGGCCTCTTCTCATTGGCCGCAACCTCAAAATGGCTAAAAGATTTGTGTACACATAGGGGCTCGTTTTGACTGGGAATTTCTTTTTCCCGCTCAAACCCCCAGGGGCCGCGTTCAAATGCCTTCAGTTCACCAAACAGTCCAAACTCGCTCAAACCTCCTCCGCCCCCAGGGGGCATGTTCAAACCCCCAGGGGGCGCGTTCAAACCCCCGGGGGCGCGTTCAAACCCCCAGGGGCCGCGTTCAAACGCGCTGCGCGCCGGTTGGCGCGGAAAAATTGAACGCGACCCCGCCGCCCGCGCGCGTGCGTCCTGGCCTACGGGGTGGTGGCCTTCGTTCAACAACACCCCGGTATGGAAAAAAAAAGCCT